AACTCTACCGAATCGGAAGACACCGATGCAATGCTCATTGACAAGATCCGCCAATTTTCCGCGACACCTCCGATTGACAGCCTGCCCGACTTCGGATGTCGTCCTTGGCACCAGGACAGAGACTTCCTGCGAACTCTGGATTCCGACCCGTTGATTGATAGCTTCATCTTGGAACATCTTGGAAATTTCTCTCTCGAGAAGAACAAAGCTCAAGCCGTGGCAAAGAAGGACTACGCGGAGAATTATGTCAATTACCTCGACTTCACAGTGTCCAGCGACCCGATTGCAGTCAAGAGCCGAGAGACCTTCATCAGCTGCTTGCCGATGCCCGAGAAGCACATTCCCATCCCTCCTCCACCAGAACTCAAACCAGAAGGCAGGGGAGCTGGCAGAAGGTATGCGAGCGAGCGTGACCTTGAAAGAGTTCTGCAAGCCTCCATGCGCGAAGATGAAGAACGTAAGGAGAGAGAGCAGCGCGCCATGCAGGAGAAGTACCGCAGCGAAAAGGAGGCAGTCATTCCTGAGATGTACTGGACGCAAGAGGAGAGGGACGCCGAATACTTCAAGGATACGACCGGTTTCACCCCTGTAGAAAAGCTGGTGCCGGCCTGGCAAATCCTGCAGCCTATCAACAACTTCACGCCAGAAGAAGCGGAGCAGTTTGAGAAGAGATATCTCACGAATCCCAAGCAGTGGGGTGTGGTTGCTGAGAACGTACCGAAGCGCAACTTTGGCACATGCATTCAGTACTACTACCTGATGAAGAAGGAGCTGAACCTCAAGGACAAACTCAAGAAGCAACCCAAACGCAGGAAGAAGGGTAGAGGCAAGACTAGGTCCAGTGCACTCGTATCCGAGCTTGGGAACGCGGAGAACGAAGGCGAAGAGAACCAGGAAAACGGCGAGAACGGAGAGAGAAGACGGCCCCGTCGCGCCGCTGCTCCGACATGGGGATTCGAGCAGCCACCCACAGAATCCGAGAACACCACACCTGCTGGCACACCAGGTCGTCGCGGCGCAAAGGCAGATCCTGACAAGCCCGACGGCAGGAAGAGGGGAAGAAGAGCAGCAAAGGACAAGGAGCCCAAAGCCGCCAAACCTCAGCAAACCCTCGCAGCCGCGCCAACTCCAGCCTCAGGCAAGGGGCGGTCTCGCTCGAACTCACGCGTTCAGAATGTGGAGTTCCAGCCGCCGCCTCCTGTGCCGATGGAGAACCGACTGCCATCGCAGTTCGAGGCGCCAACGCCCGGTGTGCAACCTCCTTTTGCAGCTGCTCAGCAGTCACCTCTGGTTGTTCAGGAGCGTCCTGTTTCTACGACACCCGTGATTTCGGACGTGATGGCGCCCCCTTCGCTGCGTCCAGAGCCGCCTCAACTGCCTGCTCAGCCGACGCTGGCAACCTTCGATATTGCTCAGCCGCAGCCCGAGCGCCGTCCCCCAAGCACTGCTTCTAGCTACTGGAGTGTTTCGGAGGCAAACGACTTCCCGGGCCTATTGAAATCTTTCGGCACGGACTGGCCGGCCATTGCCACACATATGGGCTCCAAGACAGCTGTCATGGTCAAGAACTACTTCGTTCGACAGAGGGACCAGGGCAAGAGTGATTGGGAACAATTTGCTTCTGATGCCGATGCGAAGAAACAGAGGGGAGAGAAGCTACCCGATCCTCCTTTGCCAACTGTTGGAGGGCGCAAGAAGTACGATTCCACTCCAGGCGGATCTCACCGGGCTATTGCTTCTGCTCCAACCGCAGCACCCACGCCTCCAGCCGCACCCGTCCCAGCCTCGGCTCCTACAACTCCTGCGGCGTCTACAGCACCGGTCACTGAGCCGCCCGCCGAAGTTGTCACGCCCAAGGTTGAACCAGTTGCTCAGCCGCCAGGCAACCCGCCTTTTGGACGTTTCACTATGCCAATCACTCCCGCGCCTCCTGCACAACAGCAACAACAGCAGCAGCAACAACAACAGCAGCAGCAACAACAGCAGCAGCAACAGCCACCTGCACAAGCAGTGGCGCCTCCCCAAGCTGTTCCCTTGCCACCCGCTCAGCCTGCTGCTCAGGCACCAATGGCTATCCAGCCGCCCCATCCCGTTGTTCAGCCAATTGTTACACAATCAGGATCGCCTAGTACTCGCCCCGTAAAAGCACCGCAGCAGCAGCCCTTCGGCTTTCCTGAGAGGGAGCGCGAGTCAACACAGCCACCTCAACCAGTCAGGATCTCCCAAAAGCCGTCTGCAACTCCAGTCACCGAGCCTATCCAGCAGCGTCCTCTGGCCGCCGCTCAGCCTATTCAACCCGCACAGCCTGAACCCCAGATTGACCGTCAACAGGTCGAAAGGCAGCAGCTGGAGAGGCAGCAAGTGGAACGCCAAAGAATTGAGCAACAGCAACAAATGGAGAGGCAACAGCAGCTGGAGCGACAAAGAATTGAGCAGCAGCAGATTGAGAGGCAACAGCAACTTGAGAGGCAGCAAATGGAACGTCAACAAATGGAGCGTCAACAGCAACAACAACTCGAGCGGCAAGCTATGGAAAGGCAGCAGCTTGAGCGACAAGAGATGGAGAGGCAGCAAGCCGAGCGGCTGCAAATTGAGAGACAACAGGCCTTGGAGAGGCAACAGATGGAGAGACAACAAATGGAGAGGCAGAAGTTGGAGGCTCAGCAGGCACAACAGGCACAACAAGCTCAACAAGCTCAACAGGCCAAGGAACATTTGCGACCCGAGCGCACACGCATGAAGCAGGAGCCCGAGATGACACCTCCTCACCACCGTTACGAGCCTTTCGGGTTTGGTCAACAGCCGGTCCGGAGCGTTCCACCTCCCCGATCGGAACCGCCGGTCCCGGCGAGGCAGGCGGAGCCGCCTCGCGGAGCACCGACACCGGTGCCCCAAGCTTACGGTCAGCCAATGCCGCAGCCAGGCGGTCGTGGCTTACTCGGCGACCCTCAGCCATCGGTATCGACGCCCCCTGCCCAGCGCCCGATCGCCGGTGCCCAGAGACCCATGCCCCCGCATATGGACTCTTATGGCACTCCGCCGCCTGCTGCCGCACCTCGTCCGCCAGCTTCGGAGCCACGCAAGACATCCAACCTCATGGCATTGCTCAATGACGATCCTCCCGCGGCTGCAGCTGCACCTGCACCGACGCCTCAACCTAAACGTGTTAACGATATGGCTCAAGTCAAACCGTCGCCCACGCCTCCTCCTCAAAGCATGTCTAGAGGCCCTGCGCCAGCGCCAACTCCAACACCATTGCGTCCGGAGCGAGAGCCCCCTCAAGCATATCCTTATGCCCGGAATGCTGCCCCATCTGCGTCAGCTATGCCTCCGCTGAAGCCAACATATACTGCTTCACCACAGGCTCAGCACATGAATGCGCCGAGATCTACTATGGCTTCTCCTCACGACGCAGCAAACGCAGTCGAGCGCGACTATTACCGTCATCAATACCCGCAGCATCAAACACCCACGACCAACTCACCTCAAGTCGCACAGCCTTATCCCCCTCAGGCGCAGCCACCTCCCCGAGATCACTACCAACCACAGACCGGCTACCCTGCGTACGGAGCTGCTGGCTCCCCACCCCAGCAATACGCCGTTCATCAGTCGGCATCTAGACGGGAGCCGCCGCCCCCGCAAGCTCGCGAAAACGCGTGGCCAACTGGACCCCAGGGCCACGCCATGGGTCAACCGCAGCCGCCTCAGCAACCACCATCGGCCTGGCCGCCTTCTCACGCAACACCAAAGGCTCAACCAGCGCCGCCGCCTCAGTCTACTTGGGCATCTCCACACACATCTGCTCAAAAGATACCCGCCGGTGGTATGCCGCAGCAATCATGGACATCCGCCCCGCCTCAGCAGCAGCAGCCTCCGCCGCATCACCATATGTCTATGCGGGACGACAGAGGCGCTCCCATGTACGGCCAGCCTCCTCCCCAGCATCCGCACGCCATGCAAGGTCGTTACCCGCCAGTCACTAGGGCACCTGAGCCGATGCCACCCCAGGCGCCGCAAGCTTATCCACCGCGATACGCGACACCGGGACCAAGGGACCAAATGCCGCAACGCAGCTACACGCCTGTCGGTTACGATGCTCGTGGTCCACCTCCTGGGCCATATGGCGCCGATCCAAGAGAGATGCAAATGCGTGATCCTAGAGATCAGAGGGACCCTCGGGAGCTGCAACAGCAGCAGATGATGCAGCAGCGGCAAATGGGCTATGATAGACAGTCTGACCGTTATGGTCGATAAATGAGAACCCGTCTTGGTCGGCTTACACAGAAATCAAGGGAAAATGTACAAAATTCGAGCTCCAGGAAGACAGCTCAAGCGGCTGGCTAGCTTGGATGGGTACAAGGGAGCGTTGGGGGGTTTGGCTGTAAATCATGTATTCATATGCACTGTTTTTATCGTGCTTAGTGCACCATCAGAAAGGTTTTCAATTGAGTTAGGTTCATACAACGTCTTTGATGTCAGACGAGCAGCTTGACATGCCACGCCACCAGTGACAAGTAACATGAAGCGAATGTCAGTCCATCGCGAACATCACGTCGATGTCGACACGTCGGCAAGAGGCGTCTTCACTACAACATCTGATCGCCCGCCCTCATGCACACTTTCATTGCTTGGTGCAAATACTGAGCACAGTCAGGAGCGGTAGCAGGGACATCTCAGCCGGCTGAGGTGGGAGTCGATCAATACAATGTCAATAGCTAGGTACCTTCACCGTTCGTATTCGGGATGGCCCACGGGCGTGTCAACCGCTTGGCAAAAGGTGTGAAATGGCAGACGTCTCATTTGGCCCTTCATGCTCTTGGTGGCAGCAATTATCCCACCGGAAAGTCTATCAATTAGGCGTCCGCATAGCTCCCGGCGCCGAAGCCAATTGGGAAGAGAGTTTCTTAAGAGCAGAGATCCCGCGTTCGAGATCCAAAGGCTGCTCTTTTGCTTTGATAGAACTTAGTTCTGATTGTTTGCGAGAGCAACAAGATACCGTCATGGCCGAGAATATGTCAACAGTCGGGAACGCCTCAGCTTCTATCCATACGGGGGACTTTGGATTCTCACCAACGTTTCTCAGCCTCATTGCAGGAGTGGCTGTTATCGTACTTCTCATCAGCAGGTGGTCCACTCCTAACCTCGACGATCGAGAGCCGCCGGCTTTGAAATCTCGGGTTCCGGTGATAGGCCACTTGATCGGCCTTCTCTGGCACCAAGGCCAGTATTTCAAAGTCTTATAGTGAGAAGAAGCCTTTTCGACAGCTCCTCCCCCCTGAACAAAATGACTGACATCACTATCCCCATTAGTGAGAGAGGCTTGCCGATAGCAACCCTGCCGATTCTCAACGGCAAACTCTACGCCATCTGGGACCCGGCCCTCGTGCAGTCTGCCTACCGCAACAAAGACCTCTCATTCGAGCCCTTCGCCGTTGAGTTCGCCCAGAAAGACCTCGGACTAAGCAACGATGTAGCCAAGCTGCTGCGGGAAACGGACCTTGTACCGGACTTTTTCGGAGTCATCCACCCCGCGTTGAACGGTGCCCATCTTCACCGCATGAACGCCAACGCGCTGAAGTACGTCTCCGCGGAGCTCGACAGGATCGGTGGAGGAGTCGGCAATGAGAGCGGACTTTATGTGCCGAATTAATTTGCGTGGGTGAGGAGGGTCATGACGCTGGCGACGACGGAGGGACTTTACGGGGTTGAGAATCCGGTGATGAAGGATCTGACGTTGATTGATGACCTGTGGTGCGTATTCTCAAGAAAGAGAGAGGAGGGAAGAATGTGTGTTGTTGACATGGTCGTAGGACGTTTGAAAGCGGCGTGCCCATGTTCATCCTCGACATCCTCCCGCAGTACACAGCCCGCAAAGCCTTCCAAGCCCGCGCACGTCTTCAAGCGGGCCTGTCGAGGTTTTACATGGCCAGACACGACCACAACGACGACGTGGCGCAGATTGTCAAGGCCAGAGCGGACGTCTTGCGGAGGTACGGCATCCCGGACCGCGAGATCGGAACGTTCGAGCTCGGGCTGCTGCATGTTGGAACAGCCAACACTATCCCGGTCTTTTTCTGGTTTCTGGTACATGTTTTTACGCGGCCGGAGCTAGTCGAGAGACTGCGCGAAGAAGTGCTGGAGGCCTCGCAGCGGAAAGAGGACGAGGCCATCATCGACATCACAATCTTCGAGAAGGAGTGTCTCCTGCTGGTGAGCTGTTATCGCGAGAGCATGCGGCTCTCGAGCAGGGTCATTGGGAACCGGAGAGTTACGAAGGACACGACTATTTCCGACGGTAAGGGCAGGTCTTACACGTTGAAGAGCGGTGTTAATCTACAACTCTCCGCTGAGGTTTTGCACAACATGAATCATGTTTGGGGAGAGGCTCCGGCAGAATTTATTCCTGACAGATTCCTGGCAGTCGAAAACGGGGGCAGTAAAGAGGTTGGGGACGAGAAGATGAAGAGAGCGGCGTATATTCCCTTCGGAGGGGGCCGGCATTTGTGTCCTGGGCGGAACTTTGCCTTTGCGGAGAATCTGGGGTTTGTGTCGGCGTTGTTGCTTGGGTTTGAAGTGAAACCTTTGAATGGCAGCGTTGGCGAGTTGAAGGTGCCCGAGGCGATGGCGTGCACGCTTGCAGATGGCACGCCCAAGCCGGAGAGAAATGGAGAGGGGTTCGGGGTGAGAATCGTGAGGAGGGAGGGTTGGGAGAAGGCGAAGTTCAGATTCGTGTGCTAATCGTGGATAGGAGGCCACGCACCAAGATCAAGATGGATGAGATTAAACTTCTGGGCTACTTCGTCGAACGATGAGAAGAGAGTTGTATGAATGACGAAACTTGAAGAGGCTACTATAATGATGAATGATAGTAACAAGTAGGAAGAGCAGCCTGTCTCCTGGTATTCCACCAATAAGACCGAAGATAATTGGTCTACTTTACTCACATGTCTCTAAGGCAAAAGGCTGTTCATATATGCCACTCAGGACAAACTGCTAATGGCAGTACGCACATGGCATGTGAGAATGGCTAGAGCACGCCAGATTTGTAGCACGTCCACATTTACGCAACCTTCTTCATGATGAGTTTCTTCTCACCTCAGCTTGTATTGATGTGGAATACTGGTCAGGGGGCTATATATTGTTGGTTGTTTCTGGGCTGCATGGTTTCACATTCGGAGTCGCAAGGACGATTTGCGAGTCACTTACGTGTAGTCTCAGTATGTGAGCTTTCGCTTTCTCAAGCTCTTTATAAGCGTTTGAGCATAGAGATGTGAGATACTGCTTGAATGCGAGAACAAAGTGCTAAATCTCATCCCCAGCTACTTACCACACCACACTAACTTTAGAGTCGCAAAGTTAATCATGTACGACGATGCCTTCAAACATTCGACATCCAACGAATAGTGCATTCCTAAAATTGGCAAAAGGGCTGCCAGCGGCAAGAGCGGCTACGTTCCGCTGGCTTGTCTGAAAGCGTTCGTCCCACTTCCAGCGCCAAAAGGGCGTGCATGTCAGTTCAAAGGCGGAATGGTGGATAACATTTCCCGCTGAAGATCGACGACATCTATTTTGACCTGAGGTGTCCCGTCTAGATGGAAGAGGATATTCTCATGCAGACTCCTCTCTTGAACCTGCACCTCGTTTACTTCATTGCCTTTACTTGCCCGATATCAGTATGTCGGTAGCGTCACAAGTTGCTCTGGCGAGCTACGCCAACATGTTCAGCATCGGCACCGCCTACGCCCTCAGTATCGTGCAGTTCGAGCTACCTAGACTTCTCAAAGTCTCTCACGAGTGGTCTTTCGCTCCCTTTGGTGCAGTCAGTGCCGGCCTTGCAATCGGAGTTGCGACGGCCGCCTCCTCAATCTCAAAGAATGGTGCCCGTTCTGCTGCGGCGAGAGGTACAGCACTTTGGGGTCTCGCTGTGCTTTCCACGGGTCATTTCTTGGCTTCTTCCAACTTTGTAGGCCTCCTCGCCGGGCTATTCCTTGGTGGTATTGGCGTTGGATGGACATACCTCGCCGTCATCATCATGGTCGGCCAAGCATTCCCGAATCATCCGCTGGCAAGGAGTGCTATAGGGCCTTTGGGCTTCTCTTCGGGCGCGGCCGCCAGCTTCGCCTTGTCTTCGATTCTCAGATTCAACATGCGAGGCGCGGAGGATATCGGCGGCTTCCTCAAGATTGGGGGAGTGACATTCATGGCCGTTGGGGTAGCGACACAGCTGTTGTTGCCCAGCGATACGATCAATGGACAACCGCAAACAACATCCACGCCACTCGAGAAGAAACCCGAGGGCTTTGTGAAGGGCACCTTCTGGATCTTACTCTTCTTCAACGCCTTGCCTGGAATGGTGGCCTTCTCTACCCTCCTTCCGGGGGTCTCGCACTACAGGTCGACAGATCAAGACAGTTCCGGGAATTGCCTGCCTTACACGATGGCCGCACTCGCCAGCGGAGGGCTCCTCGCGACCCCACTCAACTCCATCCTTGGAACTAAACGCACCTTCATCGTCTTTTTCTCCACCCGGGCCATGCTGTTGGTCGCTCTATGGCAAACGTCGAGCCAAGCCTTGGCTCTCCTCACACTCTGCGCAATCCTCTTCGCTCATGGGGCGGGCTTCAGCATCCTTCCGGGTTTGATCAAATCTCGGTTGGGTGAGCCAGCAAACTTTCCTCGAGAGTACGGTCGCGTTCTCACGGCATGGGGCGCAGCGGGAGCTGTCGCCAGCGGTCTCAACGCCACTGTGAAATCTTCTTCCGGTCATCTTGAGACGTTGAGTCTTGTGATGGGGACGATTCTGCTGGTCGCCGTTGTCGAGATGGTGGCCACTCCTCTCGGTATGTAAGACTGATGTATTGTCAAAGAAGCTACGGAGTGGCATTTAAGATCCACGCTCTTGGGAATGGAACAGGCCCTGGAGCAAACAGTTGGAAGAATCACCAGTGGCGTCACACAACCATATCGCGACATTACAGACTGCCGGACTTCTGATTGCCCGAGCCCCATCCGCCGTTGAGAACCCTCTTACATCCATGAGCTGCAAAGATTGCTTTCGGAGTGAAGTTGGAGCGGCTCACGTCAGTCAAGGGCCTCCACGGCAAACCCGCTTACTCAACGTCGATCCCCGGAAATAACAGGGCTTGAACTAATTAAGCGGTCAGCGGGCGGGAAAGCCGCCGAAGAGAGATAACGATTATGTACATTACATACGACTCGCGAGAACAACCTGCAGGGTTAATTTGTCAGGGAATGTGACATTCATCCAAGTTGCAGGGATGTTTGGAAGAAACTCCCCGCGTCATGTACGCAGAGGATCACGAACTCCTCGGAGGCACATGGAAATCCTAGTATAATATCGACGGAACAGCTTGGGCAAATTTGAGAACTTTTGGCAGAGAGCATAGAATTCAATCAAGCTTCAGGCGTCTCAGAAGCGGCCCGATACCATTCTCGCGATCCCCTCATTTGCGTCATTTCTTCAGCAGTACATCGCCCTCAATATCCAATATGTCTACATTTGAAGAAAAAGTCACCACCGCCGTTCACGATGGCATTCTGCCAGGCGTCTTACTATACGCAAAGGACAAATCAGGTATCATTGCTCTGACCCTTACTTCACTCTCCGTCTCTGACACGTCTAGGCCGCCTAAACTACTCCCAAGTCATCAACTCTCAGAACGCACCCCACGTTCCACCCATATCCCCAACATCAACTCTCTGGTTAGCTTCTGCAACAAAGATCATAACCACCATCTCCGCTCTCCAACTCGTAGAGCGTAACATCGTCACCCTAGATGAGGATATTTCCCCCCATCTTCCCGCCCTTGCCTCTCAACAGGTTCTTAGCGGCTTCACCAGCTCCAACGAGCCCATTCTCTCACCCCGCAAGAATCCAATCACCCTACGCCAGCTTCTATCCCACTCCGCCGGAACGGGCTACGACTTTCTATCCCCGGAAATCCAGCGCTGGCAGATTCTCAACGGCAAAAAGCCCGTCTCAGGATCAAACGTCGAAGAGCGCTTCTCGTACCCGTTTCTCTACGAACCTGGTGCCCACTGGGCGTACAGCAATGCCATCGACTGGACCGGCCGCCTCGTCGAGGTCCTGACCGGTCAAGACCTGGAAACTTACATGCGCCAAAATATCTTTGAGCCTCTGAATCTCAAATCCTTCACATTCAACGCCGCCAATGTGGAAAAGACCCTCTGGCCGCTGAGCACCCGCAACCCGGAGACTGGCAAAGTGACTCCTTATACCGGAAGACATCTCAACAACGGCGTAGAGTCTCCGCTTGGAGGTCAGGGTCTGCACGGGAGGATGGACGAATACATCGAAATTCTCTACTCCCTCCTCATCGACGATGGCAAACTGCTCCGTCCAGAGACCACTGCGGAGATGTTCAAGCCTCAGCTAAGTGCCCAGTCGAAGAAGGCTCTGCTGCATAACATGGACACCCCTCAGGGATTCGTGGGAGACTTTCCAGATACCAAGGAATATGATTGGGGACTCGGCGGGATTCTCATCGACGGGGATAGCCACCCGTATCGTAAGAAGGGGACGCTGATCTGGAGCGGAGCAGCTAACATCTTCTGGGTACGTCGCATCACAATCCCCTCAAAACAACTGAGCCAAGAGTCTTGCAAACTAACATTACCATAGTGGATTGATCGTGAGACTGGAATCTGCGGCCTCTTTAGCACGCAGATCATGCCAGCTGGAGAGCTCGTCACGAAGGGATACATCAAGGCTTTTGAAGAAGAAATATATGCGAGAGCCCAAGCATTGTAGGCACTGATTATCAATGTTAGTGAGAATTACCACCCAAAATCATGACCTCTACAGACAAACAATTGAGCATCGCCGATTGTCGTTGCTGGTCGGTGGGGTTCAATATCTTCCCACGAAGTTCTCATAACGTCGGGCCGTGAGCCAGCACTTCAAAAGAATACTCCGCGAAGAATAGAGAGAGAGAGAAGAAAATCAGCGGCTGGGTGTATTCAAATAGACTTTCTAGATCATGATATACGGGCCTCCAACAGCTTCAAGAACATGATGCAAAGTCACTAATGAATGATGCACTTGGAGCGAACATTGCAGATAGTTCGCAATCTGTCGCTGAGCAAACTCCGACTTCACGCGGGGCCGTTCTGCTTCAATGCCCGCCCCGTAGAAAACGGCTTCAGCAAGTTTGATTGCCCATTTAAAGTCAACGTATAGAAGGCATTTGCTCAAGCCATTCACCCAAGAAACGCAGCGACAAGTCTTTGGGTTTCCCGTTGTCTTTTCAATGCTTGGAAGTGACAACCCTGCTTACATTCGTTCATGCATCATTACTTCGCACAATATATCGACCAACCGCCCGTGGACTATGCATATAGAATATGACCTCGGAGATAGTGTCTAGGAGTAGTGTTTCTGGCTTACGCCTGGATCTCTACTTATGGCTGAGTTGTTGGCTATTATGGTCTACTCCAGAAGCTTTGCCTTTTTCTTCGAATGTCTTCACTGGGCTCAAGAGAACATTGTCTGCACAGGTCATGATTTCAGTGCGAATTGTATCCTAAATACCCGAATGCCTGCAAGAATACCTAGCTGTATGGGCGTAACAACATTCACAGCAGTAGTCCGTACGAGTCGCGACATATAAAAAGGAGGGATGCAGACAAGGCAATTCCTCAGGACAGAATTCATAGGGTTGAGGATCAATTCCTTCCATTGTGGTCAGCACGCAGGTCTCAATCCTTAGACGACTCGCTTTCCCATGAAGCACGATAGCTCAGAGATCTCTCAAATTTAGCCCCAAAAGCGGCTGCCGTATGAGTATGATCCCAATACACCACAAACAACGGAAATCGATGACAGGATATGATTAAGCCAATGCCTGGTAGACAAACACACACATAGATGGAACCGTACTCCTCCTGGAGGCCCCAAACCTCGCCATCCAACAACGTGGGAAGAATCTACTCAATCACGTCAATCAATTGCTGTTGCCGTACAGCAAGTGAACGGCCAATATGCCATTTATATTAGAACCATACACCCAGCATCGACTAGGGGATGGGAGTACGAGGGATTCAAATCACTCAATCGAAAAGCATGATGCAAAACTAAAAGTCCATCATTCGCCTTCGCTAAAAGCTAACACGACAAGCGCAAAAAGAGGTATGCGGCCAGCCAGGCAAAGAACTCAATCCTGCAATGCAAAAAAATAAGAATCGGGAAAGCTCCCAGACAAAAAAAAAAAGCTCCGCCATGTTGAAGCGGGTCGGTAAAAGAAGAGAGAGAGGACAAAACAAAAAAGGTGTTTGAACATATCCTCCATACGGGCATAACACGTAGAACCTTTTCCATCCCTTATGCTGCCGGTGGTGGTGGCGGCGACTTCTCTCCATCTGGTGCGGCAGCGTCGGCGGCGGCACCTGCTTCTTCCTCTTCCTCTTCTTCCACTTCTTCGTACTCGTACTCGACACCCTCCTCCTCTTCTTCTCCTTCGGCGATGATGCCGTTCTGTCTTTCCCACACTTCCTTCCTGATTCTTTCGTCCTTCGCCAAGCGGGCCCTCTCGACCTCTTCAAAGCCGCCTGATTTCTTCAGCTTGCCCTCCTCGACGAAATTCGCAAGTTCTCTCTGCAGTTCGTTGCCCTTGCGGCCCGCAAGCTCCTTTTGCCTGAGCTTCTCTGCCCTCTCGATAGCCTCCAATCGATTTTCGTGATTAGGCTGTAGCGCCCTGACCTCTCCCAGAACGCCATCCTTCGCGGCGTTCTGGTCAAGGCTGTTTCCCAGGTTGTTTAAGCCCTTGGAAAAGTTGCGAGCAGTACCAGCGCTGGCGCTGCTGCCGTTATCTTTCATCTGTTCCTTGGTGGCCTGCTCGACCAGCGCAAACGTTTCCGAGGCCTTTTCCAAATCGTCCTGCAGATCGACCATGAGGTCCTCCATAAGGCGCAGCTCATCACGGCCCTTGCACACCTCCTCAAGCTCCTTCTCCCAGATCTTGGTCCAGATGGGCTTCTCCTCCTTCATGTAGTCCTCCACCTTCTTAAGCTCCTTCGAAAGCTTCGTGATGTCCTTGGCGACGCCCTCCAGTTGCCTAGGCAGCGGTCGCACACCACGGAGAACCACATCCTTTCGAAGATCTTCCACCAAGTCCTGAAGATCGTCGACCCTAGCGACGAGTCGGTCGGAGTCCGCGTTGAGTTGCTCCCGGCCCTTGGTGACGTAGGCGTGGCCGGTCTCGCCCTCGATAGTGGGAACCGAGGCCTTGACTACTGCGGACTTGACGTTGCTCGCCTTGTTGCGGATAAGGGACATAGAGCCCTGGATCTCTGACTGGAACTTGGAGTAGGCTTGTCGCATGACCGCGAGGTCACGGCGGAGGCTCTGAATCTCAGTCAAATGGGTGCCAGCGAGCTTGCGGCCGCCTCCAACAGCGGCCGCACCAGCTCCGTCGGCTGGTGCAGCGACCACAGGGGGCATTGCTGCCAATCTAGCCATTTCCGTGGCGGTTTCTTGCTGGCGGTCCGAAACTCGTTGGATCGCCAATCCTTGGTCATCCACATTCTGCTTAACATCCTGTACGATCTTCTTAAGTTGGCCAATGCCATCATCGATGTGGCGCTTGACCTCATCCAGGGCCTCGACGTTAAGGACAAGAACGGTACGGTCCTTGATGTCTGATAGGTCCTCCAGCTCATGCCTTACCCCTGAAACGGGATCTTGGATATAAATTTCAGGCAAATCGGCACCGTTAGCCTGGGTGTTCCAAGAGAACTTCTCGATGAAAGCTAGCTGGAGACGGCCCAGAGAAAGCTCGCTGTAGCCCTCCGGCAGAACAAACTTCTTGACTTTTGACTTGTACTGCAAGAACAGAGTCAAATCTTTCGTCAATGGCGGGGATTGCTCTGAAAGGAAGGTTGCGTCTCGCTTCTTCTCGGGTGTTCTGACTTGCGGCGATCTCGGCTCGTCTTTCACCGGTGGCAGCGGCTTTTGCGCGGGCTCGTCATCATCAGGAGACATGATGGGAAGGTCGTCGCTGAGAGGCCCATTGATGGTAGCACTAGGTTTGGGATACTTGTCTTCGGGGGTCTGAATCGTAGGACTCTCCGGCCTAGCTGTAGATGTCTCTGCTGATTCCTCGGCACCCCGACTTGGAGCGGGCGACGAGTCTGCTGGAGGCTGTTTCGATGCGCGATTTTGACGAAGAGTCTCCCGTGTCTGAACCGCACGGAGAGACTCTCTCACCTCGCCTCGGCCTCGGTTGGGTATCGGCGAGTTTTGCGACGGCAGCATAGGCATGCCGTTCACAGCGCCGCCCAGATGCTTCGAGATCTGGTACTGCGAGTATCGACGAGACGCCCTTCTCTCCAAGTCACCTCCCTTCTGCAGGGCAGCGAACGCGCTCGACTGCTGCTTTGGAGGTGGTGGGGGCGGCGGGAAAGAGTCAACGTTGATCTCGTTAGACGGCTGAGAGGGCATCGACGTCTCGTCTCCGGGGTATGGCGGCATGACGGGGATGTTCTGCATTGTTCCGCTGGACATGGACGACTGCTCTGAGTTGACGGAACCGCGAGACTGATCTCGAGGGGGCATGTAGCGACGGTTTGGAGACGTAGCAGGTGCGCCAGCTGACTGTGACGATTCCCTCTGCGCATCTGGCCGATAGCCATTCTGTATACCCTCCTCGAGCAGATTCGTTAGGCCAGTATTCGTGCTACCGATGGTACTCGTGCTCGTTGTCCGCTCCGGGGCTCCCCCCGAACCGCCACTTTCCCTATCTCTCGGTCCCTTCTGTCTCAGCTTCTGCTGCTTCCGCTTGAGGCCGTGAAGCAAGTTGATTATAATGTCGCGAATACGTGGGAGATATTTCTCCAAGCTCTCGGTGCTTGCTTCTTGACTAAGAGTAGCCTCTAGAATACTTCGCAGCAGTTCGGGAACATTGCCCAGATCGGAGGTGTCCACGTTGATAGCTGTGAATGCCCGGCAGGCCATGTTGAACTCGTATCCCAGTCTCACGTAGACGTCGGACACCTGGCCGTCGGTGGCTTGGCCGCGCGACCATTGTGTGAGAGTCTCGAGAAGCTGTTTCGTGGCAACTAGCAAGTGAGTGACGCTCTTCTCTATTTGCGATAAGGGCATTTGAGAGCTAGTAGAGTTCTGCGGAAATGTCTGGTCAGTTTCTTGCAAGATAGTTGGGAGGAGCTAGAGCTTGGTGGGGTGGATAGCAAGAGGAGCCCAGATCTCGGGCAACAGCTTGCGAGCAACGCCGAGCACCGTGGACAACGCGTGGTATACTCACATTTGATCTTCGCATGCCATTTGGAGGCGCCGATCGGTTCGAGGCGTTGGAAGAGCGCGACTGTACGCCGTTGCCGGGCGATATCGAACGTACGGGAACATTTGGTGGGGGCCCAGGTTCGGCACCGGGGGAGCGGCGTTGCATGCGCTGGGAAGGGCCTGGCGGTGCCTGCATCATAACTGAGGTCGGTAATGTGACGTTTTGCGATCAATATGTTCCTCCCTCTTTCTCGCTCTTCCCCAAGCAATGTCTCCGGAGCAAAAGTAACCAAAAATAAGAGCTCGGATTCGAGTAAAGGAGCGGCGGTTGCTATTCGATTAAAGGTTCGCCAATCATGCCCGTCCAGGAGGAAGACTCGCGGGAAGAATGGTGAGTTGAGCGAGGGCGAAAAGTTGGAATATGCAGGAGCAAGGAGGTCGAGAGAATCTCATCCGATGCCGAGTCCGTGGGCGACAGGATACCTTAGTTATCGGCGGCGAGCGGCGGCGGTAGGGGATCGTCCGGTTCGGTGCAGCGAAAGACAGCAACAGCCAGAGTCGGACTGGCGTGGCGTGTGTTCGGTTGGGAAAAAGAGGCCGTGGGAGTGCAGGATTGCTGGCGGGACGGCTTGGTCTGGACGGATTCGGTGCGCAAGTTGGCAGGTGTCGCAGACGGCGGGAATGTTGAGGTGATGACTGCAAGGTTGCCGCATAGACTCGCAGAGCGCAAAGCAATTACGAGGTGCTAGTATGTATTTACGAGGTAAGGCCCTGCGCTGCGTGTATGCAATGTCGAACCGTGTTCGGAAAGCGGTGCGGTGCGGTGCGGTGCAGTGCAGTGGACGACTGAGGCGAGGAGTGGCTCCCGGGATGGTGGATGGCTCTGGACTGCTTTTTCGGCCCAAGACCCAGTTACAGTGAAGCCCAAGGAAACACTGAGGTGGTGACTGGAGGCCAGCAAAACCCGCTGTAGAATGACTGCCCCCAGTGCACACATGCCCTGTAGCGGTGCGTCAGGGCCCCGTCACCGTCCGCCGCAAGCACCAATCTGCTTGCTCGCCCATCCATCGTCAACCCCCAGTCCGCCGCCCACCCACTGTCCGCTGCCCGTCCTGCCCGTCACATCATCCTGACAGTGGAGCGCTGAGGCCTGACTGGCTCCCAAGGGCTCCCAAAGTGGCTTGACCCCCCCTGCAATGCCAGTAAGCGAGAGAAACGCACGTGCCCTTTACCAGCCACCTCGACGTCAACTCGTGTGTGCTATTGGCCATCGCGATTTGCATCTCTTTTTTTTTCCAATGGAACACGCAAGTTGCTCACCTCCTTCCGGTCTCGTCCACTTTGACTGTCCCGTCCTGTCATCCATCTCGTCTTCTCAACCCTTGAACAGAATACAAATATCTGGGATGAAACACACTGGAATGTTTCAAAACAACCATAGTCTGTGATATGCGCCGGAGCGGGGTGCTGCCATCACACCAGCTAGATCTCCATTTTCAATGAATATCTTGACCTCGACTACAGAGATGCTAATGAGGAGTCGAGCTCAACCCACCGCGATGCCCATCCTTCCATCCCTCGTCGCGGTCCGGGCGTTGCTTCGGTTAGCACGAGGTGTCTGCCCGCGTTAAAATCCTTCCCATGCGTTCCCACGCGTTGCCATGCTTTCTCTGCCCCCTCATAGGATCAGTGCATCCAAGTGTCACTCTGCAACCACAACGCTACCTCGACGTCTGAACCCTGCCAGCCACTGTTAGAGGAAGACGAGCCTGGCGTTTCAACCTTTTCCTCGTGGCCGGGCGAACCATGACTAGGGCGCGCCATTACATCACGAACCGCTACTGCACTACCGACACGCGGTGCTCTTTGGTTCATTGCCATCTTATTCTCCGTGATCTACAGAACGAACCACTGAGAAGACCCGGTCGCATCAAACGGGGTCGTTGACAACTGTCACTCCAGTCAACTCAACCCAGCAGCCGAGTCCAGACATGGGCACTGCGCCACGCGCAAACGGATTGCGATCTGCTTAAACCCCGGCGACTGGAAAACGACATGGGTTACTATTACGGAAATACAGCATTAACCTGAAGAAGGCGCCGGCAGGGACCTTATCCTGACTCCAAACCTATCGTGCCTCGCGCGACTATACAAATAACTCAGCCACGCTGCTTGGTTTATGGCAGCAGCTTGCGCATGAAAAAGAATGTGTGTACTGAGGCCGTCACCAGCGGATGGAAAACCCACGGCGTCTCGAACTTGGCGTGCCTTGCTACCGACCTTGCGATCGTGGTCTGCGGCGAGCCGGGTGTGAACATGTTGTCGTGCATGAGCTCCTCCGTCAGCCGCTGCACCTTTTCCATGCGCGGGAACATTTCCTTCTCGAATGCCTCGACCTTGCGGTCCAGGATATCCGGGTCTCCCCCTTCAGTCGCAGCGCTGGTGATGGCCTTGGCCAAGTGCATCGCGTCCTCCAGAGCGACGTTGACACCTTCACCGGCATACGGCGTCATTAAGTGGGCCGCATCTCCGATGGCCGTAAACCCGCGCCGGTGCAACCACTTGAACCCGACCGGAAGCATGTACAGCGATCTCGGCGTGCACTCGCCCTCCGCTTTGACGATGGCATCCGTCAGCTCCGGGCTCCAATCTTTGTACAGCTCCAAGAGGTGCTTCTTGACTGCGTCGATATCGTGCGAGTCGTATCCGCACACCTCTGGGCTTGACCACTTCTCTTCTTCCGACACCACCGCAGCATACACACTCAGACTCTCGTCGCCCATCTGTTGAACTGTGATACGCTGCTGGTAGCTGTTGGCAAAGAGGTTTCCCCTGTTGACCAACTTGGACAACTCGGGCGCAGTCTCTGCAGCGTTCGGGATGCTCAAAGAGTAAAGTCCAATCTTGGTCCATGAAGGCTTGACTTCTGGTGCGAGTAGCTGGCGGACCTTGCTCCAAGCTCCATCCGCACCTATAACCAGGTCAAAACCCGCCGTCGAGGTGTGTTCAAAGTTGAGCGTGCCATCCTCGCCGACTGACTTAAGGCGATGTCCCCACTTGATCATACCCTTGGGCAGAGAATCTGCGAGTATTTCGCGTAGTTTGGGTCGGTCGATTTCTGGGCGTTCCTGGCCACCATTTCCCCATCCTTCTACCGTTCTCACAAAGTGGGGCTTGTTGTTCTTGTCCACAATGGCCATGTACTGTCCGTCGTATCTGGCATACTTCAAGAACTCATCAAATAGACCCGCCTCTTTCAGCGCAGCTAGCCCGGTATGGGTATGAAGGTCCAAACTGCCGCCCTGCGATCTGAAATCCGGCGAAGACTCGCTTTCGTAGACCGTTGCTTCAATGTTGGCTAGATGCAGAAGCCGTGCCAACATACATCCTGTGGCCTTGTAAGCCGATGTTTAGGTGTATAACAAGATTCAAGGATCTGGTTCATTGGGTCAAGGCTGGAATGCCTTGTGAGACTTACCAGCAGGCCCTGCACCAATGATGGCTATCTTGAGGCTGGTCATTTTGACAAGGGAGAGTTACGGATCGCCCGTGACGATGATTCTTGATAGTCAATCGTATCAGGCCAGTGAACGGGCAAAATAGATCAGAGTTGTGGGCACAAATTCTCTCTGGTAAGAATTATCTTATGATGACTTTGAAGCGTAAGTGAACAATTGTGAACAGCCCAGACTGATGGAATGAGGCCTTGGCAAACACGAGTTTAAGTACGCCGCCGGGTTTTGGCTAGCTCTGCCTGCTGACAGCCACCAGATCGCTCAGCCATTCCCTTGCGACGGGTATCTCAACGACGCCGCGTCGGCATCCTCGCACACGCATTCGTCACACAGGCAGCAGCGCCGCAGCTCCGTGCCCGAAGCCGGTTTCCCGGATAGTGGCATGGTAGACCAGCCCTATTGGGCTGGCTGACTGAGACGGGGCCGTACACGACAGAGGCCGCGGATGCTCCGTCGACGGATTTTCCACGGAGCTAACTGTCAAGGACGCTGTATCATCAATCGTGCACGTTGCCTACTAAACCCCGAAAGTTTAACTCTTGCCGATCTCCTAGACGAGAAGTTGAGGATGAGAAACAAATGGCAAGTTTCGGCCATTAACGGAAGGACGACGGCTTTAGTGAACGTCGCGGCTTCGGGCTCACTGATAGCGCGATGCTCTAAAGGCTGATGTCAGAACTTGTTGGCTCGCGAGAGCGAGACGAAAAGAAAGTGCCGATGTCCTGGTTAATCTTCCAGGTGCATAATAGCACTGATGCAAGGCAATTTTGAAAGAAGTTCTGTCATCCCATCTTTGCTAAATAGATGGTAACTTGACCTCAGCTCTGAGTGGTCCGGGCCGAGTTGCTACGATTGGGTGGAGCCCACCTAAGGTACCCGACCAGCAGCCGTAGACTCACCTTCCATTATTTTTGCCTCAGGCCATCAAGGCATCGAACTCGGAGCTTGCGCTTCGGGAATCTAGAAACCTTCAATTGGCATCACAACCGCCGAGCTACGTCCCACTCCCGCATCTAATCAACCACATCAAACCCGTCCCGTCCTCGAAAAAACCGCCAAAATGGTCTTCGCCTGGAAAGCCGCCGGTCTCACGTGAGTCAATTGATTCCGCCCACGAAACGATTGCGTCGGGAAAGCGACAGAAAAGAGGGAACGGAAAAGGCTAACCCGGCAACCCCCGATCAACAGCTACAACCGCTACCTCGCCGTCGCTTCTCGCGTCGTGCGCCGCAGCCTAAAGGAGGACAAGAGAATCGCTGCCGAGCGCCGCGGAGAGATGGAGCTGCGTTTCGCCAAGTGGGAGGTGAGCGACCGATAGAAGCGACCGACGAAAGAGAGAACATTCGC